AACTGATTGCGATGTGATTGATTTGTGTCCACTGCTGGTATGAGGATGGTGGACGCCAAGTCACTTTTCTGCGGATGCTGTGTCCAGAGTTTGTGCTCGCGAGAAGGAGATGAGCATCTTCACACTGCTGTAGCAATCTCTCACCGTTATCATTACGGGAGCCTACACCGTGTTGGCCGCCCAGATGAAGCTCATCAGAGGACAATTTTCCGACTTGGGCGTTTAGATCGCCATCCAACACCACAGTATTCGTGCTTCTTCTGTAACGAAGGAGCTCGTGAAGTTGCTGATAGAAATCATCTTTCACCGAATCAGTGCTACAGTTTGTAGGGGTGTAAGCCGCAATGACAAACAGGCACCGTTTGTTCCCGCGCGACTTCGAAGCCTGGAACGAACCAGCTGATCGAACGGCGCACATCCGACTGTTGACTGGGATCCAATGGATCAGGGCAGCTTCAGCCCTGGGACTCAAAACAATGCCGACGCCAGCTTGACCAGCATTTGAAGCTACGTCACCTCCAGACAGGCGGAATGGGAATGCGCCGCCAGTGTCGCATATGGGGGGGGGGACGCAAGGTAAGCAAGGAGGTCGGATATTGCAGGCAGTTTCCAGATAATCAGCAAATATCGATCGATAGGGTTTGTAGTGTTCGGGCAAGTGCTGCCTGTTGGCCAATCTGTAGCAAGGTGCGCACGTTGAGGCATGCCAGTCTTAGGGAGACGCGAGGACTCCAGAGGGAAACGGGTGAACTGACGTTTTCCGGTTGGTTGAACATGGACTTGTCGACTGTTTTGGAGCGGCGCCCTTCGACTGTGTGTGAGTTGAAACTAGTAGACAAGGGACTGTTGAAGCAAGGTTGGGAGGTCGAAGGATTGGGGGATCGAAAATGGGGGATAAAAGTGAAGTTGGAGCGGGACGAAAAGGATGCACACACTCAAGAAGACGGGAATGCCTGAGTAGTAGCATCCGTACCCCTATCCACCCTACTCGTTGGAGTAGGTAGGGCGCCGTTGATTATCCTCTGCGACGGCCAGGACATCAATAAATTGTTAGAAGAAAGCTTCCTTGTATTGCGTGGGCAAAATACAGTCAGATTGCCCAGGCCTAAACATTAAGGCGATTGGGGTTATCGACCGTAGCCTTTGGTTCAAAAACCATCGAGGTTTTGACACTGGGCTACAGAGAGCCAGTTTTGTGAAGTAAGGAGCCACCCTCACTCCAACCCTCAACCTGGAGCACCAGGGGACTTAGTTTGTCTGACATCTAACCATTGACAGAGCTGGTGTGAGTGGCTCTGATGGTGCACAAAGCACCACCCAGCATAGCTTAATTTGTCTCTGAGGCACACAAACCATCGCACCACGTTAAGGCCCAGTCTCATCGCTTGTTGTTCACTTACCCTAGTGTGTTGTTGTCGCGCAATGCGTCTGGTTGTGCAATGTATCAACAGTACGCTGATATCCCACATCAATGCTTCACGGGCACCCAACCGCCATCGGTTGTACTCGAGCTGGAAGATTGCGTGATCGATCTCGTGTACGCGTGTACGTGTACGTGAAACACAAACCACATTCCTAACCACTCTGTAACCGGTCTGCCAGGTTGGATGAGGTCCCACGGTATAGCAAAACGGCATAAAGAATTTGCTCGGATGATTTCATCTCGTTTAGAACCTTTAGATCCATCACCTCAACAGTAACAATTCAACCGGGCATGATGCAATCAGTGATGTCCTTCCATTTCTTCCTCTACTTCTAACTTTTCACCTTTCATTTGGTGTGCTTTATTTCTTTGTGCCTTCGCTTGGATTGATTTTTCCTCCCTTTCTCTCCACCTTGTCATCTTTCACTCTAATCCTCATTGCGACGTAAATTATGATAACTAGATTAATTGCACTTTGGTGCACGGTTAGTACGGACTAGTTAAACGAAGCTGAACATCTTTCTTTCCGTTGCATAACAGTACATTCTCTACATTGGTTGCGACTCGCCACATTATCTTGGTCCAATCCGTGGGAGTCTTGCAGTTTGATAACTTGTTGCGAAGATTAACCCAGATCATTAAACGGAAGTGGGGAGACCTTTAAGGAGTTATTATTCACTCCATTCGCATAGTAAGTAGGGCTGCACATCAACTGGTATTATCGCTCCGAACCATTAATTTTCGAGTCACATTTCCCTAGCACCTCACATTGCAATACTAGGTGCTCCTGAGAATGGATTCGTTGTTCCTTTAACTTCTAGTTCATCCCCACATGCTTGTCAGGTCTCCTGATAAAGCTGCATGAACGCCCAACTCTGTAAAATGTTCAGTGGTTTCGGTTACATGGTAAACGTGATATATTGATTATGATGAAGCGACGTATCTAACCCATTAAATGTTGTAGTAGTTGATGTACATATATATGTGTCTAGGTATGCTTCAGCTCATGCGCACCTACTGGTGTGTAAATCCCATGGGATTACTGCTCTGTTATTATGAGTGAATTTGTATCAGAGTATTCTGTGTGCACTATCGATTTGCTTTGCTTTACCACGCCGACATCCAACTCCCCCTACTTCTACTAGACAACTAAAGTTATCCGTATGAATTTGTCGCATAAACTTTCTTCAGAGACTCGCTGATCTGTTCCGAAGGGTTTTTACCCACCCCCTCCTGGTAAACCCTATCAACAATATCTGCTGAAATATCTACCTAATTCCCACTTAAGCCTCTAGCACTGTTACATGTTTCCGCTCGTTTGCTGCATTTTTAACTCACTGTTTCCAGTCTCAGTTTAAGCCACGAGCTGGAATGATGCAAACCGCCGTCATTCCATCGCTGGGACCGTATGTGAAAGAGCTAACTTCTACGTTTTATTCGCTCAAAATACTTTCCTTAGTGGCTGGTTCCGTCCCTTTTTGGACTCTTCACGTATGAGTGACCTGGTAAGACTCAACCGGAGACATGGAAATTGCCTGCAGTCTCGTTTGCTACTACACCACCGAGATGCGTGGGCGCCTCTGGTCTCATCAGTTGACCGGGTTTTTACTGCTCCTACCGTGCGTAGGAGTTCGACGCGCACAGTTGGGTTAGCGGTGTACTATGGAGAAGACCATCATCATAACAATTGCGAAGTGTGCTCTTTTCGACAATTCGCTTCAAGCATATCTAATTACGAAACTTAGCGAAAGGGGACAGGCCAGCGAAAGTTGGGGATGTGATTGCCAGCTAACCTGTCGGCCGGTGGTCGCGTGGTCTGCGCGTTTGGTTTGCTACCATAAGGTCACCGATTCGAATCCGCGTAGGGGTGGGCGTCTTCGCGATATACTCAGCCCGTGCGCGATTGGTGGTCGCGCGGCAGCGAAGCGCCGTTACGGCGTACAGCTGGCACATCATTATTTATTATTATTGTCACCTCTGGCTTAATCTTGTAATTGTATTGCTTGAAGTGAATTGCCGAAAAGAGCACTTCGCAGTTGTGATTCTATTATCTGAAACCGATCACTGGAATTACTGCTTCTTAACTTCGTGATCGCATCGGATTTAGATGTACAATTGACATCTTTAACTATTAACCGACCATTGTTCATCGTACGTTGTCCCAACGCACTAACGGGATTCCCACCTTTTTCTGCAAACCGTCCCTCGTGGGTGAATTAAACCGAGAGGATAGTGAAAGTCATATGGAAAACCTAGAAACTCACGGTTAAATGTTTCTTGTTCTGATGCTACACATTTGAGCCAGATGCAAGTTTACCTACGTCGCACGTTCATGTGCACTTATCTCTCCCAACATAACCGTCTTTGTTAGGAATCTGGACGATATCCTCACCTACCCTGTATCGTGTAACGCCTTCCGAAAATTAACAACGAAGACTGGGCCGTAATCACAATTTATTTTATCCTGATATCAACATATTCATGAGGCAGTCTACGCTCGGTTAACCAGCTTCACTTTAGTCTTCCTTGATTGACCGCATCCGGCGGAATCTTAGCATATTCATCAATGGAGCCAATTGCTCGCGCTAGTCCACAAGGCGATTCTCGCTCACGCGTATAAGCGTTGCTACTTGGCTGGCGGCGATCGATCAGTTTTCAGACTCTTGGTCCAAATTCATTCAGCTAGCCCGTTCGATAGGCAACCAGCATACTCGATGTGCTATCTTATCACCACACCCTGGACTATTCATTCATGTCACCAATGCGCTTGTGTCGACCAACTTGGTGATTTGCGGTGGTCCACTGAGTTGTTTCCTAAATGACTCAGGTGGTCTACCCGCACACTCCCTCTCACCCCATCCACTCAGGCTGTTGCTGATTTCGACTGCCTATTGCTACTGCTGCATTGTTGCTCGCGCTCTTATCATCCAGTTGGCCGAGCTCCCCCTTCACGTCTATACGAGCGATGCTATGGTCGGACAATTTCCTATAGCTAGCGTTCAGGTCCCTGGCCCCATGGAATGTTTTTTGGTTAGCACCTGCTGAAATTCTGCTCTGTCGTCAAGGCCCCTCCATTAGATAAGGCGGTATGCACGTACAACTAATGGTTTTGTCAGTTCTCGCTATCGTTTGTATGTTTCCACGGACACTGCGCTTGTTTTTGTTGAGTTTAAGTGCTCCTTGATTCCGCTACTTGTTACGATCTAATCGAAATCTTGTGTCGAAACGTGAGTAGTGGTTTACAGCCGCATATAGTTCTCTATCTTACCTCATCGCGAAAGGCTGCTAGGATCAAGGTGCTGACATCGGAGATGCGAATATTGCATCTGCAGCTATCCATCGATGGACTCAACTTGACTACTCTGCCGCTTATGCTGTTCATACCAGCTCTTTGTTCTGTGACTTAAACACATTTTACATTCGGCGCCGGCACATCACCTTTCGTCCTCTCATTACGAGAAATGCTCTTAGAGCTCACCTGTCATCTAAAATCGTGGTACCACCAGTCACAGAATCGACTTGTGACAATCGTCACTTCCCGTCCTCAATCTCATCTACTATCACAAACGACACAGTTATGCTCATGAGTAACTTTTCTGCACGCACACGAGTGACCTCCGGATACTTTCGCATCTGTACACTGCCATTTGACAACCGGTGGGTATTTCTCCGCTTCTCTCCTTTTTCGTCCCCTTTCTCCTTTCCAGACGGCAGTATCGACGCGGAAAGGAGTAACGTCACTGATCTAGTGTCCACCATCGATCCGTCAGGCAAGCGCACGATTTTTGTACTCACCAAAGTGGATCTTGCCGAAGCAAACTTGTATAATCCCAATCGAGTGAGTCGCATGCTAATTTGCTTTTATTTTCCCACCAGATCAGGCAAATACTAGAAGGACGGTTGTTTCCAATGAAAGCACTTGGTTACTTTGCGGTTGTCACCGGAAAAGGTAATTCATCTTTCGCTTTGCCCGCTGACTTGCACCCTTACCCACGGCAAAGGTTCCAACGACGAGAGCATCGAAAGTATCAGGGAATACGAGGAAGAGTTTTTCCGCAAATCACGGCTGTTCCGCGAAGGCGCGCTACGATTCTCGCAGATGACCACGGCCAATTTGAGCAAAGCGGTGTCTGAGCGATTTTGGAAGATGGTAAAGGACTCGGTGGAGCAGCAAGCCGATACCTATCGAGGTGTGGGTTTCATAATTTTGTTAAATTTTATAGGTCATTTTTCTACCCTTCTTCGCTTATGTTGGTTAGCCGCGACCTTTGAGCCGGCTGTCCTTGTGCTGGCGACTTTGACCTATAAAATTGCCACTCTACTGATATTAATGATCAACCTATATACAATGACGTTCCGGTGAAAGGTGGCTGCAAACACGTTTTCCCGAAGCTTCGCCCCATCTATCAAAGAATCCATCAGACGTATATTGCTATTGTTATCTCCTGGCGACACTTGGTTACTTGAACTACACCCAGTGTGATAAATTGCACCAACATTTCTTTCACATGATATATCTTCATATAATGCTTTCCGATATCTAGCAACCCTACGCAATCATGGGACTCTCTCGGTGTCCAATTAGAGCACCTCATTCATGCAAATAGGTGCCAGAGTATCCGTGAAGCTGCTAGGAACTCAGCAACTGCATCATTTTTTTTCTACTAGTCGCGCGTGCTGATTATTGTATACTTAACGTTATGTGACCAATCATCAGCTTTTCGGCCTGTCGCGTCCTGATTAAACTGCATTGCGGTCACAGAATCGTGTGTTTTACTGGGTGCTCGGAATACATGGCTCTTGCAGATCGCCTATAGTAGTAGACTTTCTTTCCCTTTGTTGATCGCGCTTGTTTTTGTGGCGATGCTTCGGTGCGACACTTGACTACCTCGCTTGAAGCCTCCGATCATCCAAGTTCACTTCGCATTCCATATCGGCCCACACGAGTCTTGTGGTATCTGCTCGTTTTTGGCCCTGGGTCCGTACTGTCTATACACCAGTTTCCTGTGATGCAGCTAGCCGCTATCTGAGCATCTATTGTACACATTGCATGTCACCCGCACGGACTAGAGGCGCGAGTCTGTTCGGCCCTTTGCATCTGCCCATTTCACGAGATCCTTGTTTCACCTTGAGTCGTGTGTATGCTTTACAACAGTGCGCGATAGAAACGAATCGTCACTTATTCCCGATGCATTGTATTGTATCAATACGACAACGTACTCGGACCGTGTCATTTCTTCGTAGTTGTTTTTGGGTCAGTGATCCACATAACTTGGGTTCAAGATTGTTTACCACCGGAGTCATTGTGGTTACCTGCTTTGCAAACGCTTGGCAGATTTAGTCTCTCATTACTTGGTTGTTGACTGGCCTCATTTGCGGCATAAAATACCTTGCGCTGTGCCTCATCTATTCCCGGATGCATTCGGTGCTACGTAATCTGCACCGGCGGACTTCTCACGATTCATCTTGACTAACCAGCATGGCACATTCATCTCTCTCAGCATCACCTTTATCTTCTCCGGTCTCGCGTCGTTTACATGTGATGCCTCACTCTGCTGTACCTCTGGTGGAATATCAAAACGAGAAACCTAGTGAGAACAAACTCGATGTTACTCGTTCCAAACACATTACTCCGAAGCAGTCGTTGGAGCAATTATTTTATTGACATTCTATTTGGGACTGGAACCGAGCGCGTAGGTTTGACATCCGACACCTTCACCACTACGCCGTCGGGCTCCTCGAACAGCGCTCATCGCACATCGGTCAGGGACCTATGTACGTGTAATCTCAGTTTGGACCGCTACTTGCTTTGAAGTAAACCTCTGCTCTTCCGACTTTGGGACATGTTCGATCTTGCCTGCTTCGGATATTATAAAAATCACCCACTAGGGAACTAGTTCTTCGTACACCAGTTCTTGCTAAACAACGCCACACTGCGATTCCTGTTATATTAATCATTCCTCCTGCAGAACAAGCTCTTCATTCACCTCCGACCTTGCGTTAAAGCATCGTTGGTATATTCTTATTAAGTCTTTTATCTTCCGATCCCGCTAGTTGTCTGCTCTTCGAAGCCAGTTAACTGAGTCTGTACGTCACTGACTTGGTCATGCTTTTCGGACACATTGTGCGTTCCAACAGCCAGTAATCGTAAATAGTGCTAGTCTAGCTATATTGGTATGCGCTACCTCTACCGGCGTTCGGAAGCAATCTGTGGTTATCCTTTGCGGTTCAGTCTCTACTTCCCACTCTTTGCGTGGTTCTGGGTGATCGAATGGTATGATGTGGTTGTCCAGTAATCCGCAATCCAATGGTTCGAATCTGCGTAGGTGCTAGCGACCACGCAGTATCCCTAGTCCGCGTGCGACTGATAGTGGTCTCGTGACAGTGAGGTGTCGGTACGACTAAACTGCTTTTGGCTGCCATGGCGCATTCAACCCGTGTCTCACCTGAACGGGTACCCCTAATGCTCGCTTCCGTGTGCTATTTACTCTCCATCTCGATACTGACCTCATATGATAATAGACGTGACTCTGGACTTGAACTACCATTCTCACTGATGGCGCCTGCATGTTATTTCGCTTCAGCCGTAAGATCTCAGGTGAAAAAAGTTCCCTACACAGAAGGCACTCATCGGATGTACCATTTCCTCTGCCCATTCCGGCAACTGTCAACTGGGACGCCTAGCTGGGCTTCCGGGAGAGTACTGCGGTCCACTGTCTGACGTTGTGACTTCACTCCGCATTCGAGTTTCCCCATCATCATCATCATCATCTCGTCGTCGTCGTCGTCACCATCATCATCATCATCAATACACATTAGCTGAGAGTGCGAAGCACACCTCAACTACTGTGCCGCAATACAAAAAGATAAGATACTAGAAATAACACGAACAATTCAAAAGTAACTAGTCTAATTTTAAACATTGTATTTCGCATGAGATCGTAATTGGAAGGCGCATCTAACGAGGAGGGGAATGGACAAAGAAACTCACAACACAAGCGCCTTTGGGGCCGGCTCTTCGCCATATCAGCAAGTGTGTCCGACCAAACGTGTTCATTGTCCTTAGGACCCAGCCAGGTAGTCGGGATGCACCAACCGATGCCAACTTCGAAGTGAGGGTTTTCATTTCTCTCGACCAAGTCATCGCTTCGCCTCCCCTCCTCCTCTTCCAACCGCACCCCGGCGCGCAAACAATGCATGTTGCTGGAGCCAGTTTGATGGCTTGCGCAACACGTGGCCTAGCCATCGGAGTCTGTTGCGGGCTATAATGTTGCTGAGCGGATGACTCGCTCTTCCTTCACCAGACACGCGACACCGAACACGCTCATTGCTCACGTGGTGCTCCCACCGGACACTAGCTAAGCTGCGAGGGCAGCGATGATCAAACTTGACTGGTCTCTTTGTGTCTGTCGACCTGATGTGTCAAGTTTAACAACCGTATAGGATTGTTAAACGGACGGCTGCATTGCAAGCTCTACCTCTCACTGCTAGTGATGTGGCGTCAACGCCATAGTTGGCGGAGATTATCAAAAGCACCTCAAGCTTTTGCTATACGGTTCGTAACCTCATCTTCGATGGCGCTAATATAACTGCCCATGTACTGAACGACTTCTGATCACCACTGAACGTCAGCGCAGGGGTGGATCGCTGCCGATCCTCGAGGAGTTTGCATTTCGATGATGCAAAGCACGGCCGAAAATGATTGACATGCAGCTCTAATGGGTCCAGCGCTGCTTGGCAAGTTTGAGCACTGTCTCAGAGCAGGACAATGTCATCCGCTTACTCCAACTCAAGAAGTCGCTCACCACGAAGTAGGTCGTATCAAACAAACGCTGCTTCCATCGCTTCGTCAATATCGAAGTTGAAGAAGTAAAGTGCCAACGGGCAAACTTGTCTCACACCGCTGGAGATATTGAAGAACTGCAACAGTTTGCCATAAATCCTCACTCTGCCCGAACTACGCACGTACAGCGCTTTGACAATTTTTACGTTTTTATCGGATACACCTCTCTTGAGAAGACAGTCCCGAAGGGCACATCGATCCACCGAATCGAAGGCACCTTTTGTTGTAACGCTGCCCTCCCTCTCCTCACCGCCACGGCAACCCAACCGGGGACAAAACAGAACTCCGAAACCTGCTAGACCGAAGTATATTAAGTACAGAACACGGTTCATTTTATAGGTCACAGTTTACCATCTCTCGTTGTTAGTTCCTGAGATGACTCAAGCCACTTACCCTGGACAGATTTCAGACTTGCTTGCACCCTGTCACGTAGCAACCTGTTTCATGCTAACGGTCTGATTTCATCAGCTTCCCGTGTGACTTAACCGTGTTATCGTCGCTCGGGTAGCAACCCGTGTCCCGATGGTAGGCGTCTCGAAACCGTGTCACATCTTTATGCTGCGGCCTATGGTTACCTCTTCGAATTGAGTCTGCTTGTATACTGTTCGAACTTGCTTTTGTTCATAGCTTTTCGCCTTGGGGTCATTTTGTAGCCATTGTGGTCGTGTCCGTTTTTGCGTCGGCCTGCATTGCATATCATCTGATGCTTGCAGATTCTGTTGTGATCCACGTAGCCACTCAGCTTCCTCATCCAAACCAAACGTGTCTATTAGGATGTCCCACGGTAAGGATGGCGCTTCTGGGGAACTTTGTGTATTTCCGTGAATCGGCTTCAGCTGATTGGCATGCCTGACCGATTTCTCATTTCCTACTATCAGCTCATAAATGACAACCCTTTCTGCGGATCACTCTTCATCTTGAACACCACCTCGGTCCTCGGAAGTCTCTCATTTACTTCATGTCACCAACCTTGCAACGTTTGAGCCAGTATGCTCGATTTCACTCCGTTTGCCATCATCTCATCTTTGGACTGTGACTCATAACCCATCGGCTTGGGAATGATGATAGTACCACTTGATTGACTTGTGGTTGCTAGCATATGCTGTTCACTGACTGATCTGGCAATTCTAACTTATGCATCCAGTCGAGACCCTGCAGATCTAACCCCGGCTTGTCTGTCACGAAACATTTTTTGCGGATATTTTGATCCCGTAATCTTCTGACGCATTCTGTGCGGTTTGACACGTTTGTATCAGTGACGGACGCCCGAGCGTGCACCACGTATCACGGGAAATCAGGGTTGTATCTGAAGCGGTATCCAGCTGCAACTTGACTTGAATGCCATTGATTTCCACCGTCGTATACTTACGTCTGATGAGCCCATCAACTTTGGAAGTGGCAGTGACAGATCTGGTCATATTGGGACGTCTGGACGATATAGCATTGTCGCGCTTCTTTCTGGACAAACTAGGATCACGTGCCAGACAACACGACACTTTATGACCTCTTCTACCGCATCGGTTGCAATTCTGATTCTTAAATAGACAGTGTCGAGCATAATGCCATTCTCTACGAAACCAACATGCAGACGGAGATTGGGAATGTGATAAATCCACTTGAGTTGGTTCTTTTTGGGGAGTCCGGTTGACTGCACAAATCTGGTCATGCTCTTTCGTGTTGGACAACTGCTGAATCATTGATGTATCATGCTTCAGGTTCGTCATTCTCTGGCACTCACCTGCCACTTGCTGCAATGTGATGTCAGGATTTTGTTTAATCTTGCTCAGTATTTTTATTAGTATGTCTAAATTTTTGCCTGCCTGTAGGCCGCAAACATATATGAGGCAATTGTACGGGTCGCTGGTCATCGTGTGAAACTGTGAACGTTCGCGCTCATGATTTACACGGCTCAAGTTGGTGACCCAATCTTCATCTTTCTTCTTGGCCATTGTGAGGCACTTGTACCGGATGTTGAACAAGGATGTTTGCTCATCCAAAATTTGTGACGCGAAGATACGGTCGGTGCCGCCCCGGCCTTGACGAAACACGGCTTGCTCCTCACGAATCTGGCTTTCATGATTCCTAGTCAGTCTGTGGATATCGACCGATGCAATCAATTTAGAGGCATCTGAGATAAGATTGATTTATTTATGGTTGCCACATTCCGATCATGAGCCTCCTTAAAAATTGGAACGGTGGGGCTCCAGTCTGTGGGGACACTCTCTCTCCCATAGTTTCACTAGTAACTCGGGTAAATCATCTGCAAGAGCAGGTCCTACGAATGTGAAGAGGGTTGGAAGAACTCTATCTGCCCCTGCGACGTTATTCATTTTCAGCATTCTGATCTTACGCTCGACTTCTGCACATGAGGACGGATCCAATTAGACATCTCAGGGAGAAAGACACTCAATACCCGAAAACGAATTTGACAACTCTGATTGGTTCAACTGCCTTGTAAAGTCTTCGGCCCAATGCTCCAAGCGTTTTGACAAGTTATGGATTGGCTGTTCACTGTCCTCGCGTATGGTCCTGCTAACACTAGGTCTCCTGCTGCCTGTCTCCCGTATCAGACTTACGATGGTCACCAACGGCAGCGGCTGTTTCCATTTCCGATGCACGATGAGACCACCTGGCTTCGCAGTTTCTCTTCAGGTTAGTACGGAGTTTTATCCTGAGATCCATACGGGTTTCATTGTATTCGGTTTCAGCCAGAATATGTCGGTGAGCATCGATAACTTTCAGAGACTGTGTAGAGACCAATGTCCAGTTTGGCAGTTTGATTTGTCACATGATTGCGGATAGTAACGTCTATCGTATAGGCGATCACTGGTCTTCGATGGTGTTCATTGGACGCGTGTCTTGCCAGGATGCCAGCGTACTTTGATACGCATTCAGGACACCTGGCTTCGCCAGTTGGCTGGTGTCTATGCGCTCACAGCGACGTTGCGGACGTCCGCCGAAACGCACCCGAAAATCGGCACACACAAGTGCCTGCTCGGAGTCCACGCTTGTGCTCCATATCGGGCGACAGTTTTAGACGCAGCCTCTCCAATTGTAACTGATTGCGATGTGATTGATTTGTGTTCACTGCTGGTATGAGGATGGTGGACGCCAAGTCACTTTTCTGCGGATGCTGTGTCCAGAGTTTGTGCTCGCGAGAAGGAGATGAGCATCTTCACACTGCTGTGGCAATCGCTCACCGTTATCATTGTGGGAGCCTACACCATGTTGGCCTCCCAGATGAAGCTCATCAGAGGACAATTTTCCGACTTGGGCGTTTAGATCGCCATCCAACACCACAGTATCCGTGCTTCTTCTGTAACGAAGGAGCTCGTGAAGTTGCTGATAGAAATCATCTTTCACCGAATCAGTGCTACAGTTTGTAGGGGTGTAAGCCGCAATGACAAACTGGCACCGTTTGTTCCCGCGCGACTTCGAAGCCTGGAACGAACCAGCTGATCTAACGGCGCACATCCGACTGTTGACTGGGATGCAATCGATCAGGGCAGCTTCAGCCCGGGGACTCAAAACAATGCCGACGCCAGCTTGACCAGCATTTGAAGCTGCATCATCTCCAGACAGGCGGAATGAGAATGCGCCGCCAGTGTCGCATATGGGGGGGACGCAAGGTAAGCAAGAGGTCGGATATTGCAGGCAGTTTCCAGATAATCAGCAAATATCGATCGATAGGGTTTGTAGTGTTCTGGCACGTGCTGCCTGTTGGCCAATCTGTAGCAAGGTGCGCACGTTGAGGCATGCCAGTCTTAGGGAGACGCGAGGACTCCAGAGGGAAACGGATGAACTGACGTTTTCCGGTTGGTTGAACATGGACTTGTCGACTAGATTAGATCGGCGCCCTTCGATTGCCTGTTTGAAACTGGAAGACATTTGACTATTGAAGCGATTCGGGAGAGGGCCAAAATTTTTGGGATCGGAAACATGTGGATATAAGTAATGTTGGAGCGGGTCGGTAAGGATGAAAAGCATATGATGGGGAGCAAGAAGACGGGAATGCCTGAGTAGTAGCATCCGTACCCCTATCCACCCTACTCGTTGGAGTAGGTAGGGCGCCCTTGATTATCCTCTACGACGGCCAAAGCACCAAGGAACCATATGGAAGGATGTTCATAGAGTTTCTCCGCTGTCATTGCAAAGCATAATAATATATCGGTAGATCGTAGAAGGCCGCTCAGACAGATATTTAATCCAGCCCCACGTATCTCAGTTTATTTATAACAAAGACCCATTGAAACCATCCATCCATCCTACTTGATTCAGCTACGTTCCCTTCTCTAGGCGTTTCGTCCTTCTTTGCTAGGCCCCTGCGTCGCACATCCTCCTCGTGATTTCCGAGTTTTTATTTACTATAGCTCATCGTCGGCGCACTTCCATCTAGCTTCCTCTCATCCACTTACTCATAAGTAACCCCGTTACATCATGTATCGTGGCACATGAGGGTTGTGTGTCTTATCAGAATTGTGCCTACTACTAATTGCATCTACTTAAGACAGTACTGGCCACAGAATAGACCGTATACCCGGCCGAAGACAAACGCTGACTCAGTTAAACGGTTGGGTACGAACCAGCCACACACGAACAACATCTTACTTTTTAAAGGGTCTGTACAAAACTTGTCTTGCTCTCAGTCCAATGCTACTCTCATCTGAATACACATGACCAAGCTGCGGGACTTAAAAAACATTTTCATCCACCAATGACACTCCATAGAATTTTCTGTCCCATTAACCTTTTTAAAATAGTTTGACTGCAGTTTCAACCTTAGCAACTAGAGCAATGTTCCCGTCTCTTCATACTGTATTGAAATCTGAGCTGCGCTGTGTCCGTTCTCCTTCTGGCTCCCTTCACCTTATCTTTATCCTAACAGCGTTTTATCACGTTGCTGGTGTTTATGATCCATTTGTGCTTTCAGCGAGCCAGTCACTTGTCCTCACTCAGTAACCGTTGTTCTGGTGTGATGATGTGACGTATGTTACCTCCGATAATTAATCCTTGACCTCCTAAAGCCTTCTGATGCCCTCTTAACACATAGCTTAGCATCTCAGAGGGAATTGCCTTTATTCGACTTTCGTGACATTCTTTTGGACCATCATGCTACTTCCGGTAATCACCTGGTAACATTGGTCATCAGTGTCTTCGTCCTTTTCGCACATTATGTGCTCATTCCAGATAACCCCAATTTTCCCTTCATTTCAGTGATTTATTAATCTACACTTTCCATCTAGCTCTTCGTTTCAATTTGGAGACTGAATGGAAGAATTCTTTTTCCCACTTGCGAGAGATGGATCGTGAGGAGTTGTTCGAGAAGGCACGCAACGAAATTCTTGACGATCTCATCACTCTGAATAGTATCAAAGCTGCCACATGGGAGAAAAATTTACGTAGCCAGCTTTGGGACGACCTGCAGGCTTATGTATTCTCACAGATTTTCGAACCAGCTCAACAGCTAGATGACTTGGGGTAAGTGCTCTTTTTCTGTAGTTGTGTTCCACTTTTTTCCGTCTAGCTTTCAACGCACGACGACTGTCACTGTGCTACCGGTGTTGTGACACGTGTAAATATGTATACGATTGCATTCAACTTCAGATGGCGGGGCAACGTAGTGTACTGCAGGTCTTTTTGATCCATTTTCATTTACTCAGATCATGCGCTAGTCTGCCCAAAGATCTGCATGTGTTTCGAGGTGTTCCCAAACGCGAAGCACGCAAGACTGATGCTAACAGATTTACTGTTTCCTCAGTCCAGGCGAGCTGTCAGTCTTCATTAACGGACGCATGACTTTGAACTACACTGGACGTTTATACAGAATGCGAGGATCACTTCAGAACAATCCAGCTGCGGCGTAGCTCGACACCCTTTAGAGGTTTTTATCTCTGCTCACTCTCTGGAGCTATTCGACCACCGCAGAGATATCCCGGCATAAAAAGGTTGCAGCGAGCGGCGCCGCTCTGCCAACTGGCAACTCAAGCCAAGTCTGCGCAAGGATCGTCAGGCTTGGTGGTCTGATCTTGCTTTTGAGATGGAAATCGCTGCTTTCTCTGGCAACACTCGCAAGCTCTTCCGACTATACGATCCACTGGCTACAGGAAGCCTGGTGTCAGTGAGGTTATTTGCGATGTGGATGATTTTCCGATCACCAATCAACTGAGGCGTTTGGGCCGTTGGGCCGAATACTTTAATTTGGAATTTAACTGCCCTCCATCGTCCATCCATGCACTCACTACACCTTGTTGTCCACCCTGGCTCTTCCCATTGAATCCATTCAGCGAAGCGGAAGTCTGCCTCTAGATCTGACGCTTGAACTTCTTCAAGGCTGTTGGTCTAGACCAGCGGTGACAAACTCAGTCTCACGGCGGGCCCAATTCGAAGTCACACTTAAGATAGCGAGCCACACGGCATGAACATTCCTTGAACAATGAAAAACGAAGTCTTTTTTAAACAATGATATAATAATATAATAATAATAAACAATAATCATAAACAGTAATACCAATAATAATAATAATAATATTATTCTTGTTATATAATATATAATAATATTAAACACTAATATTAATTAAAATCAAATCAAATAAAGCACACTAATTTTAGTTCTTATTCCAATTTGTGAGCACTGGATATTTGGCCTCTTTTCTTGGCGACAACTTCATTTCTGTTTGAGGTAAGGTTTTGTGTAATGGAGATTCTCAGAATGGACTGCAGGTGTTCATCAGTGAGACGATTCCTGTGTGATCTTTTGTTGGTCCGTAACACAGATATGTGCTACCAAACATATTCAACCTTCGAGCCGCATGTAGACGAAGCTGGGGCATGCCATCAGGAATGAACCGATTGAACTTTGCGGGCTAAACAGTGTCGTACATTGCCTTGAGTGCCGCATTACACTGCAACTCTATGAGCTCCATCTGCAAATGTACGTGTGCAGTTTCTACGTCGATTGCAAATGGATTGCGAAACAGCTCGAAATTACTTTTCTGTTCGTCCAAGTCATTAAAGCGCAGTGCGAACTCAGCGCGAAGTGAGCTCAGTTTTTCGGCTATATATATATTTTGGAACATCATGGTGCTGACTTGGGTCAACATTGCTTTGCAACTGGGAGAGATAGGTTACATTGGTGCATTTCTGTTTCCCATAAACGCAGCTTCACTTGAAATGCCTTCACTGAATCATGCATATCAGTGATCAAGTGATTTCGTCCCTGAAGCTGCAGGTAGGTTTAAGACCTTGAGATTAGTGGTAATGCCAAACAGAAACGCCAACCCACATCTCGCAAAACTGTGCAGTCTTTTCCCTTGCTCTCCATGAACTGACAGGTTTCCTGAATCAGCTGGAAAACTCTGGTGAGAACTTTTCCACGACTTAGCCACCGTACCTCTGTATGATAAGATAAGCCCCCGAACTCTGAATCCATTTCCTGCAAAAGGACTGAAACAGGCTTTGATGTAAACCTTTGACTCTGATAAAGTTACGGTTTGTGTAACAGTGCTCGTTACATGTTCCACATTCAAGACTTGACCACACAACTATCCTTGGTGTATGATGTGGTGATGTTATCAACTCACCAACACAGATCTCCTGCATTCTTCCAACTAGTCCACTTATTTCGCCGTACATTGCTGGTGCTCCATCTGTTGTCATTCCAACTAGTTTGTCCCCGGGCAGGTTCATTTCGGTTACACTTTGACAGATGTTGTCTAAAACGTCCTTTCCCATCGTTGTTCCATGCATGGATTTCATGTGCAATATTTCTTCTGTCACATGAAAAGTGAAGTCCACACCGCGGATGAAGATGGTGAGCTGTGCGGTGTCGGTCATGTCACTACTTTCATCGACGGCAAGAGAATACGCAACAATGTCTTTGTCTTTTTCGATCAGCTGTGTTTTGACATCATTGGCTCTCTCACAAACTCCATCAGCAACTGCTTTTCTGCCAAGGCTTACATTTCTTAACCTCTGCTTTTTGTCTGGACACATGACGTCACACACTTTCACTATGCAGCTTTTCAAAAACTCACTCGCTAAATTGTCGAGCTGATTTGACGATCACCCCTGCCACACGGTCTGCTGTGATGCGATATTCCTCTTCTACCTTCTGCAGCTTCCGATCTGCATTCAGATTTCTAAACTTGTCTTGATGTTTAGTCTCATAGTGCCGTCTCAGATTATATTCCTTCATCACAGCCACATTATCTCCGCAAATTAGACACACAGGTTTACCGCCAATTATTATTAAACATATATCCAACCTCCCAGCGTCCTTGAAAGGCTCTGTTGTCGGAATCAACTTTCCACTTGGCCATTGCATGCGAGTATCTGTAACAAACGGATTAGAAGAGAAAAGATTACTATCGATCCTTACAATACGTCAACACATGGTGGTAGACATATCAACGAACAACATTAACACCATCCAATAATATATGTAACAACTGATTTAAAATAGCAGAAACGACATCGATATAGCGCGCAGTAAATTACAATCATAACAACAAACAACATGCTAATTGCCACATACTATACACAAAAGTACGATACACAAAGGTGACGACCTACATGTGATGACAGACATGGTGCCAGTAACGACAAGCTTCTATTACTGCTTTTCCTCTATTACTACTTGCACCACCACAATCCTGCTTCGTGTGGCCCGCGGTCGATCCCAGGTGATGTCGGGAATTTTTCCATCGGAGGCAAAGATGCGATTCCTGTCTGTACAATGCGCGGCGAAGCGGCCTTTAACCCCGCAGTGTGACGACTGAAGCGATTAGTTCAAAAAACCAAGTGTATGCAAGGTATACGGTGCTAATTACAGACCACTAATTACATAAGACAGCAAGCCGCAATTGTAGGCGTTCTTACGTTAGCAACAGTTGCGTGACAGAAACGCTCAACACGAGGGCATCATCGACCAGTTGTCAATCATAAAAATGCATATAAGCAGCCTTTAATAAATTACTTGGCCGCTACCATGTGCGCACAACCGCTCAGTAGCCTGTGGCCTTGAATGCTGCACACCGCGCAGTGTGCGCTCACATTCGACAAATTGGGTGCAGGCAGTCGTCCAAAGTGGTTTGCCAGTGGTCCAAAGTGTTTTGCAAAACGTCTAATTTAACGTGAAAGTGGCATATATATATATATATATATATATATATATATATATATATATATATATATGGTTGGCGGCATCCGGTTTCGGATTTGCCTGTCGCTGTGGCCAGCTACAGGACGCTTGCGCCTACAGAGGGACCATGGGTGGCTGGCTTCCGTTGCACCACCCACAGCTCCAACCACACACCCCATAGCCAGTGTAAACCCGAAGGAATAAGACCGGGAGGCATGTGAATGGGAGCCACGTTTCATTAACGGAGCCGGCCCACACTCCTTCACAGGCAAACACAAGCACGTCCCGCTTCTGCTACCTATGGAGTGTGGTTTAGACTGACCAGCAGATACGCAGTGAGCCGCGTCTCGAAGGCTGCTTCGGCATTCGGGAAGCTCGAGTACCGAGTGCGGAACAACCGTCAGCTTACCGTTGGCATGGAGCTGATGATGTACAAATCCATAGTGCGGTCCGTTCTTTACGGCACCCAAACGTGGACTATGTAACGGCGGGATGTGCGATACCTCGAGCGGTTCCATCAACAGTGTTTGCGACGGATTCTGCGCATCGAATGGGGCGGCAGCGTTTCGGACACGGAACTGTTGCGTCGAAGTGCAATGTATACAGTGAACTGCATACTTTTGCTGAGACCCCTGAAGTGACTCAGTCATGTATGGCGTATGGATTCGACGCGGATACCGAAGCAGCTATTATGTGGTCAGCCGAGTGTTGGGAAGCGGCATGTGGGGAAACCGAATCTTCGTTACCGAAACATGATCAAAGTGAGCCTCTCACGTTCTAATCTTGATTGCAGGTCATGAGAATCGAAGGCGGTCGATCGGCGTGCGTGACGCGGTCTGACCACGAAGGCAGTTGCCGAGGTGCAAGCGGAAGCATTAATGCACGCGGAGAAGACTCGGCAGGCGCTGATGGGTTGTATTTCATCAACATTGTGCGCATGGTGCTGTAGCACATGCGGTCGCAAGTGCCTGAGTCAGGCAGGCCTAGTGAGCCATGAGCGATACCACTCGTGTCCAGCATCGAAATGACGCCGGGTTCAGCTGAGAACGTAAGCAGAACCGGCGCAGCGTTGGTAGGTACACTGCATTCGATTTACTAACCGCGTGCTTGCATGCTGAGTCTCTTTATTTTAGGTGGTGGGTTTGCTATATTTTCTTGGTGTTATTTTATTCCTTATTAATGTCTACCTGAACTATCTTCTATAAACTTGCACACGTCTCTTAAGCTAATTGTGCTTAACTTCCACCGCACGTTAGCGTTTGTGGTATTTTTTAGACATATATTTTCCGCCGTCCTGAACCTATCACAGATTTGTTGGCAACCAATTTTTTCATATGCTCATTTGGTAAATTGTTATGTCACCATATCTATATGCATTATTAGATTTTTTATTTGATATCGTCGTCTCAAGTGATTTGTTGTTGGTCGATATCCCCAGTGTGGTTGCGCTGGATGTGCATGTTTCCAAGATGCCTACCTGTCAGTTACCCACTACTTCGTCCATACTGGCTCCAGGAGACGGTCGGTCGTTGCTGGAGGGGACGGGTTGCACGGTCCTTGTGACCGTGCTGTGCTCGAAGAGTGCTTTCATGCACTCAATGTGGAGCGGACTACGGTTCAGTCACCGCCTTATGTGCACTTGATTCCAACATACAACGTGCTTGTATTTGGCTGTGAAGGAGTGTGGGCCGGCTCCGTTAAGGAACGTGGCTCCCGTTTATATGCCACCTGGTCTTATTCCTTCGGGTTTACACTGGATATGGGGTGTGTGGGTGGCGCAGCGGAAGCTATCCATGGTCCCTGTGTGTGCGCAGGCGTCCTTTGGCTGGCCGCAGTGCCAGGCAAATCCGAAGCCGCCTACCATATATATATATATATATATATATATATATATATATATATATATATCCTCGTTTATTGACTCAATCTTTAGTTTGGTTCTTGAGTTAATAGTACAACTGCACATTATGCGTATAGCAACCTTTTCTCTTGCAGTGCTCACTGAATTGTGGCCATCCATTGTGCAATCTAATTTAAGGTACAAGTGACTTTTCTGCTCCATTGGCCTTTACTTCCAATCCATTATGTCCACTTCTACCGTATTGTTCTTGAAGACACGTAAGTACTAACCCGCATACTCATCCAACCGGGCAACCGAGAGTACCTTATTTTGCCGAACGTTCGATGGGCATTTTGATTTGCTGTCCGAAATATTTCACTTTCGTCCATTTAGTTTGATTTAACCAGCGATTTGCATGTCACAGTCAACGGCTCGTAGGTTTTTTAATGCGATAGTTACACAGTTGCTATTTTTCTACCTGGCTACTTGCTACAGTGATTTGGGATTGTGCTATGTAGCTTGAGTGCTGCTGGTACGAATTCGTTGCAATTACGAGTAAAATCCTCCTACTCATAAGTAATACAATCTTTAACCTTAGGCCATTTGGAATACAAATTAAATTCATTGGGCTCTGGGCGATTGTGTCTACTATGATTGACTTAGCTATTAATATCCAGTTGTGTTGCAGTGTGAGGAGCTCGCAAGCGGAGTAGCATAACCTTCTAACAGGTTACACTTAGGTCAAAAAACTTTCCGTACTGTAATTCATCATTGGTCAATTTTTGCCCTAGCATTTGCTTGTTCTTTTTGTATCTTCCCCGGCATAGCATGTGGTCTTTGATATTTCTAACCGATGAGTTACTTTGTGTGCCTATCATCAATCCGGCATCCCCACTGCCGAACTATATTAGCCGGCGCACTAGACACTACTTTTCTCACCTCTATTTTCCTTTAATCGGATAACACCCACCTCTTTTTGATTTCTCTTCTCAATTCAGTGCGTTTCAGACCAACGTCGATATTTGGCTACGCGATTGGGTTGAAAAGGATTTGCCCCGCATGGCTGTACAAACTGGATGGCATACACTGTACAAAGAACTGGACGCGAAACTCCGTTCCGTCCAACATGCACCTGGATATGATACTATGTTTGATCATCTGAAGGAGGTGGTTCACCAGGAGACGCGCACTAGACACCACTGGGATCCAAAGGCCGAGAGCCGATTGGTGAGTGCAGCTTCATTTGTGCTGCAAAGGCGGCTTTTGGCATCCACAGCGTCCCATAACTTCTAAGCACTCACTTGCGATGCAATCGTGTTTCGCTTAGAAGCCCTCATCTGGCTAGAAGAAAGAGGCGTTGTTAATGAATTCTAAAACCAGCGCAACCGTCCAACTTTTTCATGATGTACGACGTCTCAGTTCAGTTCAGTTCAGATAAACACGTATGATACGGGCACCAAAGTGTTGTGGATTGACTTACCATGACTTTTATTGTCAGGATATGAATAATTAACTGTGACAAAGATAGAGGTTGAACAAACACACGACATAAAGAAAATGCAGTTGGGAAAGAAGTGCGTACAGACAATCGGGATGTAATGAATGACTGATGGATTATCTAGCCACTGATGTAGGCCATGATGAGGTGCTCATCCACGAAGACAGCACACACCAGTTTGGTCAAGTCTCTCAGTCAATTTCTTCAAACCACTTTATTAACTGGCTACCTCGTGGATTCGCCCACCTTGGTACAGCCATGTTGTAAAATACACGCCGGTGATCGAGTGGTCTGCACGTTTGGCTTGCAACCATAAGGTCACCGGTTCGAATCCGCGTAGGGGTGGGCGTCCTCGCGGTATACTCAGCCCGCGCGCAACTGGTGGTGGTCGCGCGGCAGCGAAGCGCCGTTACGGCGTACAGCTGACACATCATTAATATTATAAGAGGGAAATGACCCAGCAAACATAGGCGGTTAAGCTTCAGCAAGCACTCGAATAATACACTAGGAAGCTTCTTTCGAACAACCAACTGGTGAACTTCAGCATTGCTCATCCGGTGTTCCCACCAGATGTGAGCAATATTCCGCAGGTGCCGATGATCAAGCACGGCGAGGCGTTTAATCTCTTCACTGCGAACTGACCAGCTCACAGCGTTATACGCCTTATTTTTCACTGACAGGCTGATATCTTGCCTTCGCCATAGATAGTTGAGCTTCTGTAAAGCCATACTAATCTTTCTGATTACGAAGTAACCTCGGTGATGTGACCACCAAAGGTGATTGAGCTACCAAGGTAAGTGAACCAATCTACCACTTCCAGTGCCTGTTTGTTGATAGCTAGGACCGGTAGTGTATCGTTCTAGTCTTACAACAGTTTTGCACTTTGAAACTGCAAAGCACATGCTGACGCGTGCAGTCTATCCAGTATTGTTTGCGTAGCCACTGCGGCCGTCCCAAAGAGGGCTATCGTCCACATGCTCAAGGCGGAACTTCCAATCCGGTAGAGTCTCAAAAAACCCATCACACATGATCATTTCTAACACAGTTGAAGAGAAAAGCAGATATAGGACAACCCCGGTGAACCCAACTGGTTTTGGGTAACTCAAGAGAAAAGTTTCCATAGACGTTTACTCAGCCTCGGGAGCCGTAATAGAGGGACTTAAAAGTGGAAAGTTTCCCAGGCTCTCCTTCATTATATGTATTACCACAAGGTGGCTCGATCAAAGGTAGCTTTTCATTCAAGGAAAACCATAATCAGTGGTTTGCAAGTGTGTCTGCCACAACACATGACGAAGAGTCAATGTGTGATCGATGAAACCACGACTATGTTTTTTTATGATTTCGCCCTCACGAGGACCAGCAAGTCGTCGGAGAATGATACCCGTGAAAAGTTTGGAAGCAATGAAAAGAAGGCTAATGGCTCGCGTAATGTTTGTCGATTCCTTTTGTAGATGGGAACGGCGATTTACAGTCGCCAGGCTATAGTCATCATCATCAACATACACGTTAGCTAGAGGTGGGTAACACTTCAGCTACTGTGCCGCAATACATAGAAAAAAGGAGAAAAAAGCAACTAGTGCAAGCCGGCTGAGCTACCGGTAACGGATGGGCATCGTTCCGGTAAGCTGCCAGCCGGCTACTGTGCATAAAAATAAATTACTATGCAAAATTATAAAATGCTAAATAATGAGATCGTGGTTGGAGGGGGAGGCTAAGAGGGATGGGGTGGGACAAAGAAACTCACAGCACGAACCCCACTGAGGTCGGCTCCTAGGCATATCAGCAAGTGTGTTCAACCAAACGTGTTCATCGTCTTTCGGACCCCAACCAGGGAGCCGAGACGCTCCAACCGAGGCCAGCTCAGAAGTGAGGGCCTTTATTCCTCTGGACCAAGTCATCGCTTGGCCACCCCTTCTCTTCTTCCATCCACACCCCCGGCGCGCAAATAACGCACGTCTCGGGAGTCGGTTGGCTGGCATGCGTAACAGGTGGCCGAGCCATCGGATCCTGATGCGTGAAATGACGGTGCTGAGCGGTTCATTTCCTTTTCCTGTGCCATAAACAAGGCGTCGAACACGCGCGTTGCCAAATCGGTGTTCCCACCAGATGTGAGCTTAATTGCGAAGGCACCGGTGGTCGAACGTAACTAGCCTCCTCAGGTCCGTTGCTTTAAGGAGACAGGTTACACAACCGTACAGTAGGGTCGAACGTCCCGCTGCATTGTACACTCTGCCCTTCAGGGCAAGAGTGATGTCGCGCCGGCGCCATTAGTAGCAAAGGTTAGCAAAAGCGCCCCGAGCTTCTGCTGTACCGTTCGTGATCTCATCTTCAGTCCCACGAGCGCAGATACAATTTCCCAAGTAGTTGAGTTTTTGAACGACTTCTAACTGATTCCCACCAACGGTCAGCGCAGGAGGCGGTCCAGACCAATCTTGGAGGAACGCTTTGCACTTCGAGGGTGCAAAGCAAAGTCCGAAGTGACGGACAGCTAGTGCTAATCTGTCCAGTGCCGCTTGGCACGTCTGGGAGCTGTCACAGATTAGGGCAATATCATCAGCATACTCTAAATCAGGAGGTCGTTCTCCTGGGAGTAGCTCCACACCTTCTAAGTCGTGTCCTGTAAACGCGATTTCCATTACTTCGTCAACAGCGAAGTTGAAGAGGAAAGGTGACAGCGAGCATCCTTGTCTCACGCCGCTGGAGATACTAAAGGGCGATGACAGCTTGCCGTAAGCCCTCACTCTGCCCGAGGTACGAGCATATAATGATCGGATAATATTCACATATTTCTCAGGGACACCTTTCCTGAGTAGACAGTCCCAAAGTACAAGTCTATCCACCGAATCAAATGCACCTTTGATATCGAGGAACACGACAACGGTGGGCCGCCAATATATGTGACGGTGCTCCAACGACTGACGTAAGGTGAAGATGTGGTCAATGCAGCCACGACCTCGACGAAACCCGGCTTACTCCTCAAGAATGTGGCTTTCACGAGTGCCAGCCAGTCTGTGAAGCATGACAGAGGCAAGCAATTTGGAGGCGATGGAGATCAGACTGATTCCTCTATGACTGCCGCATTCCGATCGTGAGCCTCCCTTGAAAATTGGGACTGTGACGGAGCGGGGCTCTAGTCGGTTGGGACAGTTTCCTGCTCCCACAGTTTGACTAGTAACTCGTGTAAATTATCCACAAAAGCAGGTCCCCGGATTTGAAGAGGGCTGGAGGAAGATCATCTGGTTCCGCGGCTTTATTTAACTTCAATAGCTCGATTTCACTTTCCACTTCTGAGCGAGAGGGTGGATCCAAAGGGACAGCCCACGGAGCGGGGCGACCATTGGCCGGCGAGAAATCTAACAATTCCGGCTGATTAAATTGCATTTCAAAGTGCTCAGCCCAACGCTCCAAGCGTTTTGATAAGTTGTGGATAGGCTGTCCACTCTCGTCACAAATTGTTTCACTAACACCAAGTCTTCTGCTGCCTGATTCCCGTATCAGACGGAATAACTTACGATGATTACCAAGGGCAGCGGCCATTTCCATCTCTGATGCACGATGAGACCACCAGCATTCGCGGTCTCTCTTCAGGCTAGCACGGAGTATTGCCCGGAACTCTTTGCGAGTTTCATTGTGCTCGCTTCCAGCCTGGATATGCCGGCAAGCACCGATAAGTTCCAGAGAACGAGAAGATACCCAATGTCCATGTTGGCTATTAGACTTAGCACATGAGGAGTTTCCTGCTGCTAGTAAGGTCTGGTGAATATGAGACCAGTGAGCTTCAATTGCATCCGGTGAGCGTTTATCCAACTTGCATGACAGCGTACTTTGATAGGCATTCAGAACAGTTGGCTTCGCCAGTTGGCTGGTGTCAATGCGCTCACAGGGTTGTTGTGGGCGTCCGCCAAAGCGCATCCGCATGTCAGCACATACAAGTGCATGATCGGTGTCCACACCTGTGCTCCAAATCGAGCGACAGTTCTAGACGCAGCCTCTCCATCGGTAACTTATCGCAATGTGATCGATTTGCGTCCATAGCTTGTTCGAGGCTGGTGGGCGCCAAGTCACCCTCCGGCGGGTGCTGTGTCGGAAATTAGTGCTCGCAAGAAATAAGCGAGCATCTTCACACAAATGAAGTAACTGCTCACTGTTATCATTACGGGAGCCTATACCATGTTGGCCGCCAGATGCAGCTCATCAGTGGGTAATTTTCCAACTTGAGCGTTCAGATCCCCGGCCAGCACAACAGTGTCCGAGCTTCTTCTCTGGCTAAGGTGCTCGTTCAGTTGACGATAGAAGTCGTCTTTTACCGAGTCATCGCTACAGTTTGTCGGTACATAGGCAGCGATAACGAATAGACACCTGTTACTCCCGCTCGACTTCGAAGCTTTGAACGAGCCAGCCAATCGGACCGCACACATCCGGCTACTGATTGGAATCCAATCAACCAGAGCAGCTTCAGCCCGGGGACTCAGGGCAACACCAACACCGGCTTGGCCAGTGCTCGAAGCTGCATCGTCACCGGATAGGCGTAATGAGAAAGTGTCACCTGAAGGGGATCACAGAGTGAGCACAGAGCTCGAGTCTTGCAGGCGAGTCTCCGATAAGCAGCAGATATCGATCGAGAGGGTCTCTAATGTTCGGACAAGTGCTGCCTGTTGACCGATCTGAAGCAATGTGCGAACATTGAGGCATGCCAATCTGAAGGAGGATCGAGGGCTCCAAATGGAAGCCGATGGACTGGGCTTGACCGCTTTCTTGGACATGGGCCTGTTGACAGGGCAGGAATGACGCTCCGCGTTCACATGTGAGTTGAAAGTAAAAGACAAGCGACTATTGTGGCAAGGTGGAGGAGTGCCGAGAATTGGGGAGTTGAAAACAGGGGGGATAAAAGTGATATTGGAACGGGACGATAAGGGTGAAAAAGCGTAAGAAGGGAATAGGAAGACGGGAAGGCTTGAGCAGTAGCATCCAAACCCCTATCCACCCTGCCCGATGCAGCAGATAGGGCACCGTTGATTATCCTTTGCGGTGGCTAGAGCATCAGAAATTTGTTTGAGGCAGGATACTGTCAGGTTGCCCAGGTCTAGACAGGAGAACAATTAGGGTTCTCAACCAAAGCCTTTGGTTCAAAAACCTGTCCGCAAGGCACTGGATTTGGCATTGGGCTACAAGGAGTCCGTTTTAAGGAATAAGCAGTCACCCTCATTCCAACCCCCAATCTGGAGGACCAGGAAGCTGAGTTTGTCTGGCCTCTAACCATTGACCAATCTGGTATGAGTGGCTCTGAAGGTGTAAAATACACCATCCAGTATAGCTCAATGAATCACTGAGGCACACAAACCATCGCACCATGGTAAGGTCCAGCCTCATTGCGATGGCCAGGCTATAGGCAACTCTATCGTGTCCCACATCATGTTGAATAGAGGAGCAAGTTCACTTAACAGTGTGTCGCCATCTTTCAACAATAATGGAGGAAGGTTGTCGGGTTCATGAGCATTGTTCCGTTCCAACACTACGTGGCTATGATGAATGCCATCCAAAGTGTTTGAATTCCTTTCCCTCTTAATTTTGAGCTGTGTTTGCTTTTACTCATAATTTCACTTTAGCGAGGCTCTCAGTGCTGTCGGTACTCAGAGGATTTGGTTCGATTTGTCCTGCTTGACATCTCTGGGTCTGCCTTTTCTCTGGGTGCATTTCACGGCATTATTTTTACCTGCAGGAAGAGCAGTACCAACGGTGCGTCATTAGGAAAGCGTGAACTCTGGCTGATATCCTTTACTTAGCGGATACTCGTCAACCAACTAAACCCGATTGTCGCGATCTTCGCAGCTTGGTTCCGCGCACGGTAGCGCAGGACAGAGGGTTGTCAGTAGTCTATAACATTTCCCTCCTTATTGGCTTAGCCGCTTGTTGTACACGCCGGTCATTGACCGCTCCTCGTTCGGTTTGATAGGCCTCGGGCATGTGAAGCACGTTAGATGCAAGTGGTGGTGTACAGGTCGTCGCTTCATCCTGAATGCCCCGCGGTGAAAACATTTCATACTTGTAAACACTTTGTGATCTCCTTCTGAACTTACTCCTACGGCGCACGATATGATAATTTTCTTCACTCATATGTCTTTTGTCTTATTCTTCTTTACCACCTGCCCGCGAACTTGCTACACATGACACTGCGGTGCTTCACGGACATTCAGTTCCCCAATTGAACTCTTCCATTAAGGCATCACTATCTTATCCGCACTGCACACGAGAGCAGCGCTGGTTTTTGTGGTGACTACTGGCCAACGTTGCATTTAGCGACCCAAATTTAAATCGCTTCTCACAGTCCATTTACGCATCGGGGTGGCTAGCGGAACAACCACCTCACTTCAGCAAAATTCCCATTCATCATTAGAGACTGGCCGTAGTGACTGGCATCCTAATGTTTGGTATTATCGTCGACTAGCCACGATGTCACCGACAAGGTTGTTTCTTCTCAAATTGTCCAGAGTGAAATAAGCGATCCTGGAGTCTATTATTAATAAGCAACAACACTAGAACAAGCTTACTTTGAATCTGTCTCTGTTGTCCGACATGTCAACAGCTCATAACCCAACCGGACCTCCTGTGGTCGATCTTCTACTTTGATTGTTTAAATGGCTTGACTTCACTTTTTTCTAGTCATTTCTTAATCTTGTCACCTTAACTTCTTTGCGACTCCACCCGACTAGTCTATACTTGTATTCGATCCGCCGAGTACGATAGATTATTCTTTCCGTATCCTCTACTTTAGTTTACTGGGAAATATCTCCCAAACCGCCGGACCTTGAAATGACCATATTGCGCCTGTGCTTGGCGCATTAACGGCGGCCGCTGGCCAGTGCTGCAGTAAAGTAAAACGCTAAATAATGCTGCTGAATTATCTATACGCTTTGACAATAAAATGGTAGATTTACTTGGGTGCTGCCTACTTGTGGTCGTATATTTTCGGACATTTTTCCTTTTTGTAGATCACTATCATTCATCCAGGTTGGTTGATGATTAGTCTATGTGGATTTCTCTTTTATCCTACATTTGAAATGCTGGAAACCTCAAGCCCTCACTGGTTCATCGTCTTTGTTGGACTATCTAGCCTCGATCAATTGTCACCCTGCCTTTCATCAACGATCAAAGCAACTCAAAATGCAAAATTAACCTCTGTGCGTTACTTGTATTGCGCTTTGCTTGACTGGACTAGCTATGCGGTGCGTTTCGTCCAAAACAAGTGATGCTGTCCTGCTTATCGTTCTACATGAAGCGGATCTCGTTACCATAAACTCATCTAGACTCCACTTCCCCATATAGGCAGAGTGAACCACTGAATTCTCATTGTCTTCCATTTGGTAATATCTACACTTAAACAGTCTCTCATGTACACCAGTCATGACACAGATAAGCTTCAGTGTCTTTTAGGAATGACCACCATCGCTCCTTGCACCATCTCCATGTTTCAGCGTGTGATTCAGTCCAACGCGCTTGATGACCGGACGGTGCATGACAAATCTCAGTGGACCGCTTCGGTAGAATTCTTGGAACAAGCTTTGAACTCCCGCCTTAAAACCGGTAAGCCGTGGTATTTCTGGCCTCGTGTTGCCCCAGCCTCGTCTTGATACCCACTGATACCTGGTATTTTAAAATCATGTTCCATCTCTACGCAGCCATCACTATTACAGGGTCCATTTTTGATTATTGGTAGTGATGCTTAGGGCAGAGATGAGCTATTAACTCGTTCCCTTTCCTATGTACTGCGTGGTAGTGGACACGAGTCGGTTGCCAATATGACACGTTAAACCACTTACGCATCTTGCTCGTAACAGTCTGCAGTTGTCGGTCCTCTAAAGTGACATCAAGCTTCACTCGCAGTGGTATTTAGTTCGACTTTCATATCTGCGGCGTTATCTCGGTGCACTTCATTCGTGTGCAAGATCCAATTTGATGACCGACAATAATAACGAGCAGCGGTAGGAAAATGAGATTGACATCAGCACTTTTCTGGGATTTCGTCGCACTTTTGTCATCCACCAAACTTCGAAACCCTATGTTACTATATGACGACCTGTACCTCGTCTAGTCGGTTGCACTTAGTTCTGACAAGTCACACTTGTGGATCCGGAAAGTTACCCACAGCGCAACTGGGGATGCCGGACAACTCAGTCTCTCATGCACACAACAGTCCTGGAGCGTGCTACTTAGGTCCACGAGACGAATGGTGTGTCAACTGTGTGGGTCTTGACTGCGCACCCGATTTGTACACACGTACTGTTCTCTATTCCAATTTTGTTTGTCCAAACAACTACCACTCTCTAATGGCATTCATACCGAGCATTGTTTCAGTGGAATGATGTTTCTGCGTCTGGGTTTAATGCCGCTTGCGCTACACTTGTATGGAATTACAAGTGGCTCATGACGTTCGCAAACACTATGAATCCAACGCATATTCGATTGAGTATAACTTTCTAGCGCATACACGAGGTCCTCTATGTCTTCATCCGCTAGGTTACTCAAAAGTCCCGCCAAATCTGATAGTTCTCGCATCAAATACTATAGTTGCTGCGTCTCCCCAAGGCGGGAGGTGAGGAAGATCACCTCGACTGACATCAAAACACTGACAGAACAAGGGAGTAATCCGTCCTCAGTCGGTTGATTTTCCTTCTCAACCATTCTGGTAGCAGCGGCAGGAATTCGCACCGGATTTTAACTATTATATCTCCGTTCATTTCTCAGCCTTTTATTGGATCATTTCTGTGATTAATTCCGTTCATAATTTCCCACCCTATTATTCTCATCATCTTTACAGTCAATCAGTCAATTGCAGAGCTGTGCGGCCCTAACCGTCTCCAGCGGTGGATTCATTGGCAAATCCAAACCCCAGAACAGCGAGCTCGAAGCGAGGTCGCACACGAGATCGAAAATCTACTCGCTTCTTACACGGTACGCGCATGCCCATCGGAGTTTAGTGGATCGTTCCCCTTTTCTGGTTCGTATGTTCATGATTTCGCTTCCATTCTACTTTGTGTTATACAAACTGTTCAGGTTGACCCCGATTCCTTTTATGGTTTTACTCATTCCCTCAAGAGGGGACTAGAGTCATCCAAAACCTAGCGGTCTCCATATTTGTGCTTGCTGATACTACTTTTTCCTTACAGTAAGTATCCTCTATTCCACCAGCTTAACCGCTCCTCGGTGATTGTCCCGGTTGTAAGAAGCGATGTACCTCACACTGCTGTCGACTTAACAAATCCAGTGCGTCTTTGTCTGTTGTGCACATCATCTAACGCTGTCAGCCTCTGAGCCGCGGACCCCTTCCATTGGTGTTCTCTGTTCTTATTAAACCTGTATTCTCATTCTTACATTAGTGAACCCGAAAGTGCTGCTCCACCGTTACCGATTTTTCTCATATTTGAAGTTTTGATTGGCTGTCTCTAAGCTTCAGGCTTGACTCCCACTCTCTTTGTTGTCTCCACGCTTGAATTCTACTCCTTCCCTAGCTTTCTCACTTACACGCCCGCAGTTTGGCAGTTATTCCACATTTGACCCGTTTCCTTCATCTTGTTGCTCACAGATCGATGCTGGGCTCTGATTTCGATCACTTCGGATTCACCTACTCTGAATTTGAAATTAATCACTGCGTTCAGTTAGAGTTCACCGGATCATCACAGTAGGCTCATGTTGCGCACACGTTCACTTATTTTTCATCTGTTATTAGCAGATTCCGATTAGTGGACGTCCTATTGCTATACTTGTCACTACGTCGTACCGTGCAACTGTGAATCAATATGAACGAACCTGATGGTAAGCAGGAGGGACGGGATGAAGAGCATCTAGTCTATGACTTGCTCTCATTCACAGTCAAAGCTGCTGCACCGTGCGAACATTGTACGGTTACATAGAGCTGGCTATCTTGTGAAGATAAGGCGGCAACGCACCGTAAATCAACCTCGCACCACAGATAACACTAAGCACACTTCGAACATACATCCCGGTTATAAAGCGACCTCTAGCACGCCATCAGGGCCGGTTTTGCACTGTGTCCCTCTAGGCCTTGAATCCGGCGCAGAGTACGTCACGTAATTATTATATTTATATTCTTCAACCCCCGACCAGTATACACTTAGCAACGCCACAACACATAGTTAACAGCAACAAAATGGGGAGAACAGGTAGACAGTGGAAAGGTTTGGAAGGTTTACAAAGTTAATGTGTTGTGTGGGCAGAGGTCTTTTCGGTTTCCCAGGCCAGGGAAGAGGGTTGACTTAAGGGACCCCACCCCGAACCTTTGGTTATAAAGACCTGACCCGCAAAGCAGCGGGACGATTAACGGAGACCGTTGACATCCGGGTAGCTCATTCGCCTTCTTTGTGTTCAGTAGCAGTCCACAGAGAAGCCGTTGGCCAACAAGGTTGTTCATCTGCCATCCGTTAGGTACTCACTTCTGGTTACAGAAGTGAGTGGTTAGTGACCCTATAGCCGGTCACATTAGGTTTGACACAGCGCCGTACGAGCTCTTGTGGTATTTGATGGGGAACCAAGTGACCAACCCAGAACTCCCCACGCTCTGAGACGCGGCCGCTGATTGTCCGCGACTGCCTATTCATCTCGCCTGCAAGACAACGGAGACTTATTCGCAGTTACCTCCACAAGAAAGGCATTCCCTGATCCGCAATCTGGGGACGCGCCCGATAGCATACAGCTCCGCCACTTTAAGATCACATAAACCTCAAATTGCAGCGTGATACGGACCTACATCACGCAGTCTAGTTACTAGGTGATTCTTTTCCTGCTGCTGGGTCATCGCCTTTCACCTTCCTATTTTCCTAGACGCAGCAAGCAAAACAAGACCACATTCCTAAGCGGTGAGTTGGTTGTACGTAACCCGCCCTCGATCCAGCACTTAGTACACCCAGTTTGCTGACTTATTGAGCAAGACTCGTCATCACCGCACAGTGTTGCCTGTGCACCTCGCCATTACGGTACGCTTTTGCCACCAGATGTGAATAATACCTCACGTCAACGACGATCAATGAAAGCGCCTGGAATTCTCGAATCGAAAGACGCCTCCCGCCATCATAGAGGGAGAAGGGCTCTCATTGTTGCGGATAGGAATTGGGTGTTACCCGCTCGCCTTCAGTGTCCTTTTACTTACACAGCCTTCAAGATCAAAGTAGCCCACTTCCTGCATTATTGTTATAGTAGCCTAATAGAGGATGATATCTCAGATGTTGCTAATTAGTATTACTGCAGTATCTTGTCCTTACAGCCAACCATCCATATTTTGATGTTAAAATACATTTGGTTGACTAAACCAACATTGTGGCTTGAGACGATCAGTTCGGGCAAACGAACTTCAGCCGTAATATCTGCACGCTTAATGTCTTCAGCACAGTAATTATGTGATGCTTCGCGCTGAATCCATCGTGCAATGGTGACCCCTTTTCTGATCCATGTGAGTCTGCGTCATCTGACCCTTTCACTACGATAACAATATTGCCTACTTTTAAGGTATGAGTGGTATGAAATGTAATGAATTGTCCGGGATTACTCATCTTACGTGCAAGTGGACGCCCCATCAGGGCGATAGCACACTTCGCTAGCTAATGACTTTTATCAGTAATAATGGGGTTCATCATCGATGGATATGATAGCACGGACGCAGGGAATAAAAAGCCATTTAGGTATATATCACCTCATCTGTTCAATGGCTTTACCACACATTCCACTTTCTATTCTCTATCGGAATGTTCCTTCACTCGGTCTAATATTTATATCGGATTGCATCGGTTTAACTTGTCCATCTGTGAACTGGTATTTGGCCGTTCCATATCCCTGTGCCATTACAGTTGGTCTGGATGTGTTGCAGATCCTTTGGTATCCATCCAACCGTGTAATAGGCCTAACTCATAGAGTTAATCTCCGTTGTACACTTGATGGATCTGCCTCACATGACAGCAGATTTCGTTTCCTGTTGTGTTTTCACCGTGATGGCTTTAATTCATAAGGCTACGTCATCGCCGTACTGGAGGATGACATGGGTAAAATTATTTACCGAGAACTACTTGCCTTCTCCGTCTAAACACAATCTGCATGATTTTCGCGATGCCCTGGTGCAAACCAAGACTCCAATGCGTTCACACCCATGACCTCCAATCAGTGATAATTACTGGATCCAAAGGTGTCCAAACCCAAACGCAACTGCAACCTGATCATTTGCAAACTCCCGAGAATGTCACCTTTTGGATTCACAAACAACCGATGACCACAGCTTACATGAAGCAATCCCCGGCGGCGAAAGGGAGCCTAACACTCAATGAAACCGCCACTCAGTCTGTGCGTATATCAAGCAATACTTACCAATTCCGCAGGCTACCATTCCTGCATTGTACCTTCAATCCATATGCAAGTCAAGTCAGCATAAGCTTTATGATGACATCATTCGTTCCCCGATGACCCAGACCCTATTACAATTCTCGCATAGGTGAAAGGAACACGAATAACCGATTCAGTCCTTCTGTCTGAGAATAATCCGCCGCATCCTTATATACAAGACCAGTTTCGTGGAAGACTGACCAAACATATCACGGAAATTTAACACCCCACCCAGCATCGAATCTCCATCTCACAAAGCGCGTCAACAATCGGTGTGAAGGAATACGAACTTGGTACTCGACTGAAGTTAACATTGCTCAATCATACAGTTGTTCACCTGTTTTCGAATCCTAACGGACGCAAAAGCAACATTGTAACGCACCCAGTCGAGTACTCTAAACGCGCCACATCCCTACATGTCATCAAATTGTATGTCAGTATGCACTCGGACCTGCTACCAATCCAATTGTGATTAAAGTATTCTTCATACATAAATTTAACTGATCACGCAAACTCTGGTGGACCTTGTGTATACTCCAGAATAAACTTCATTATTATTATTTCTGCGATTCAACGTATGTCATCCTTTTGTTCGCGGTTTTATTCCTACACAATTTACTTTTGTTACGACTTCCCGATAGAGCTCCGTCCCGTCGAATTTGTTTTGTTTTACGAACTCGAGCGAGTTTTAGTCCCTTGGCATCGTCCACATTCGTTGAGTTGAAACCCTATTCGATTCATCAACTGTCATACAAATCCTTTAGACGCCGTATGTATCTCGCGTTTTCATCGTAAGGATTTTCTAAATGCGAGAAATATGAACAAATGCTCAACCGAGAAAGGGTGACTAAGTTGAACTCACCATACGAAAGAACAGTTCATTAAGAGTAGCTGGTAAAATGCGAGAGTACCATTGCTTACCCGACGGGGCCGTGTTTCTAGCCTTTCATATCTGATCTTTCTACTGTCATTCGACAGGACGACACGCATCGCAGCGACTCAGTTTTGCTTGCTCTTGCTAGCCCGCTGCCACACGCACGCACGCACCGGACTAATAACCTTGGTTAGCCGATCGTTGCATGTGTCTTCATGTCCACGTAGGCAGACATGGAGGCGCCACTTTGCTGCCGGAGTACTATGGACCCACCTACAATGAGCGAAATGCGAGCCGTCATCTCTTACAACACTCCCCCTAGTATGCCAGTATGTCATTGGGAAACATGTATCGTGTCTAATTAACCAACCGTATTTGTATGCACTGACAAGCCGCAGTCGCATTAAAATGACAGGTGACCGATTTTGGTTTCCTACTCAAGGATCCTAATGCCCTGCACGCGAGTTGTCTATGACAACCTATCTTTTCCCGGCACAGTTTCGATCTTTTTATTCATCTCATAGTCATATCAGACCATCATAAGCAATACTGTTGACCCGAACGAAAACCCACTATGTCCGGGAACACTGCCACCGAACCATTGTCTGGAACGCGATACTTCTGAACCACCCAGCTGGCACCACAAGATTGTTCCGCAAGCCGTGATGAACTGAGAAGCTTTTTCATCGGTAAC